ATAATGGTACAATAATAATCATAGAAGCAATAAAACATCTGAGAAAACAACCATAACCATAATAACATTAATAATAAAAATAGTAATGATATAAAAACTGTCTAATTCATAAAACATTAAATTGCCTTAAAAAAGAAACAATTATAATCTAACTCCGCGCTTAATTTTTGTTCAATTAAGACCACACTGCACTGCACTTCACTTCACTACGACCCTTTAATCACTTTCTTCATTATTTCTGTTCTACACTGCACGACACCTCACTTCACAATATCTTACTTACGCATCGCTCTATAACCTACTATTCTCAGTTAAGTCCTACATTTACGTTGTAATACCCTAAATTAATTTCCTAAACTGTTGAACGCTACGAATAAAGGATTGAAAGGTTTTTGCAGGTATTCTATTCCATTCGGTGATCGTTCGATTTGTGAAAGAAAATTTGCCGACATCCGTCCTCTGCGGTCTGAAATTTATTTTGTGCCTGCGATCCCCCCTTCTGATGCATGTGATATACTTTCCTGTATTGCCGTACATTTGTTCCAATCGTAATGCCTTTCCTTGAAATATTTTCGTCTAAGTCAAGAATAACCGCTTTGTGATCGCTAATGCCCTCAACAACTTCACAAGATGTGAAAAGTTCTTTCGGCCTAATTAACCATCCAAAAGAGCATCCTGCCGCGTCCCACTCTGAACTACCTGAGTTAATGCCATGTCCCAAACCAGACCGTTCACAAGTGTTTGGACTACGCCCCCTCGCTCACGGCTCCCGCCCAGTTTGCGTCAGGAATATTTGTCTCCTCCAATAACAATAAGATGGTCATTCTCGTTTCCCGTTCTCTCAATGTGATCTAAAATGTCTTATCCGTCGCTCGGGGGCCTATAACATGCAATAATTTCTAATATGGTTCCTGAAGTAGTAATTTCTATTCCCATCATTCCAAACTCTTAACTGACCCAATTTAATCTAATACTGTCATGATTAAATAAACACTTGTTTATTTAATATTATATAGTAGTTTATTGTGAACACGAGTAAAAGCATTGTGTTGCCTACTTACATGTTTACTGGAGCATGGTTACATACAGACTAAGCTAATGGACTATCGTGCGGTACGGCAACTCCGTCTAGCGGTGCTATTGGTGTACTAACATACAACAAATACTCATCTCTGCTTTGTCGCAAATAAAGACTCCGCCCCCTCTGCCATTTCTATCCCTCCTAAAGATCTTGTAATGAGGATGAAAATTATCATTCTGTCTGATTTCCTCAGTTAGCCACGTTGTACACCCTAACGGCATGACCACGAGCTGCCACTGGTATAACCTCCCTGGATTCCCAACAATAGTGAGATAAAGAGTAAAAAAAATGTTAAGCACACTACTGTTTCGGGAAGTCTCTTCATTCTCATAAGCAATTTGTACTATAAAATGTTTGCATTCTTTTCATTTTCTTCTCATGTTGATTGATGAAGTTTATTTTTCTTTAACATGTACTTTAAAACTCTACTAATTAAACAATCTGCCTGAAAAAAACAAACAAAAATATTTCATATTAGAATTAAAATGTAATAATGACTACAAATGTCAAAAACATATATTGGCTTGTAGAAAAAATAGACCTGATACGGAAATGCCGATTGCAAATTTGAAATCAGCGCGAAAACAGATACATAAACAAATAAAACATTACAGACATCAAAAATGACGCACACCAATGTAATCATTTCCCAGCTGATGAAACGTCAGCCCGCCGTTCGGAGTAGATTCTTTGATATAATTAAAAGACTTAACGTTCGATAAGCTGAGACGTAACCATGTTCCACTACGTTCACAATCAGGAACTTCAATACCAAAAATGAAATCGTAACCCTGAAGGCTATAAGACAGAACACATATCAACATATTTCATACATCAATACATTCAGACATCAATATTAACCATGGTTACATGGATTACAAGCTTCCAATTTTATATCAGTGAGCAGCTGACTTTTGTGAGAGGTCACTATATTTAAATGGTACTTTATGATATTTTGTACAGTACGATTTATTTAGTTGTGCACTTGACGGAAATCAGCTGTTGCGGTTTTTTCCAATGGGCTCCAATATGTCGCTACAGTGACATCACTAAGTTCAAGCTTCTGATTGGATAAAACCGTGGACAGCTGACAAGTGCATGCTTAAATAACTCTTAGTATAACCTCCTTGCCAGAAACCGGAAACAAAATGCAAAAGTGATTGGAAGTGATCAATCAAACATTAATTGTCAGATGGTGTTTCCAAACTCATTTATACTCTTTAGCTGTGAAGAAGTGGTTACTGGCGTATTATTTGTTGCGTGCCACGCATATTGTCTGTATGTTATAGCCGCAACGTTGATATTACGTTGTTGGGAGAGTTCAAAAGAGAACAAAAACAATAGCGGTCCAAACCATAACCAAACATTGTATCAGAAATCAATAAATTGGTGAGAACATTTGGAAAATCATAAGGCGGATCGTTTAATCACAGGTACATCATATATAATTTGTTACACAAAAATGAAATTTTGTCATTTTAATGAGTTCATAGTTTGCAATTAGATAGTTTGTATTATGACAAAAGTAATGGAGTAATTGGCTTGGAAGGTGGGGTAGATGTCAAGACACATTATCTATTAGAAAATATTGACATGCAAAGCTAAGTAACATTTTAAATCATCTTTTTGATTAGTATGTATGTCAATGCATTATAGTCAATGCAAGTACATATATCTAAAAATGATAAAATTTTAAATTTCATGGTTCAATATATGTAGTTTTAGCAGCCATTAATTTCCTTTACAAATAATTTCTATAATAGAAATTTAAGCAAGTAATTTGAGAGAGAAAAAAAAGTGTAAATTGCAAAAACTTCACACTTAGTTGCTGTAAGGTAAACAAGTCTGCCATAACTGCATATGCCACATTGCTGACAAAACTTGTGCCGTGAAGGCAGGCAGTTTAAAAAAAAAAAACATGAAGTCTCTACAGTGTAGTAAAAGAATGTATATGAAATGTCAATGACTATCTTAAATTGTAAATAGAATGTAAAAATACCACATTTTCTCGAGATTCTTATATATAATCAGCCTCTTTTTATCGGATACTATTAGATATTTCAGTGTTTTTTCTTGTATTTTTTTGCTCCATAGTGATTTGAGCCCAGAAGTTTGGCAAAATGCCTTTTTATTATTGTTAAGATTTTATGACTTTTGACAATAGGAATCACTTAAATGTACTTCTGTAGTTGTTTTAGTAGATTTTCATTTTACTTATTTTAGCTTCTGATGCCAATTTTTGACATTTTTCCTTATTGTGCCTTTTTCGTCATTATTTCCCCCTTTTCCCTCATGACTCAAATCAGTATGAAGTTAGAATCATACCAGCAAGCCTAGACAACATGAAGGCATGGTTGTATATATAATATATTTTTGCTTGTCTTGTTATGAGTTATAAAGATAATTTGGTTTTCAGTTGTTCACTAAGAGTTAAAATTGCTTCTCTGCACTTAATTAATTTATTTTATGCATTTTTTTTAAATTAAAATGTGTGAGACCATAAAAATCACTTTTTGCAAACATTTTGTCACAACATTGAAAAGTTTTGTTCATTCAAACAGTAACTTAAGTGTGGTTTTATCATCACCTGCCTACTTAAGGAAATTATTCTAATTGATTATTTGAGATCCAATATTTTGCTTTTACCAATTTTTTTCTTTCCCTATATACCATTTCCATTTAGATTTGTTCATTTTCTATTTTCAAATGTAATTTTTATTTGTTTCAGTACTTGTTGATCATGGCATTACTACTGTCATCTGTGAGCTGGAAAGAGTATTCCAACACACTAAGTACAATATGTAAGGATTTAATTGACAACTTTTTTGTTGATTGCACTATATCTGCTGGGGGTCAGTGTCTAAAAGCTCATAGGCTAATTTTGTCTGCATGCAGTCCATATTTTCATGTAAGTTAATTTTAGTGTTCATGAGAAAGACTGTCAACTTATGTAAATAGGCACAGGTATTGTTTTTTGATCGTTTTTTCGATTATTAGTTAAAATGATTAGCTTTTTGCATTATTACAGTCTCTATTCTATTAATATTCCCCCAAGCATCAAGTCTTCCAATACCTCAGCCAGTTGTTAGCAAGTTTTAAAGTTTGTGAGATAATTTTATTTAAAATTAGCAGACCCAGCAATGCTTCACTTTTGCAGTGTATTACACTTGACATGCTACTGGTCACATGATTTTTAATCAAGTTTTATGATACACTCTGCAAAAATTGTAGTAGATGAAAGACTCTCACAAGTATGAGTTTGTTCTTTGTCCTGGTTTGAACATGGTTGTCAAGTTTCCTATTGTTAAAACGTTCTCCCTCAAATTTGATCATGCCCTTGTATGAAGTGACATTCAAGTAATATCAGATGTTAAAATTCTGGCCAATGCTTCACAATCACAGGGGCAGAATATGCAGGCATCACTGTTACATACTTGGTAGTGCAGCAGGTTGACATGTGCTTCTGTTCAGGGTGCTCGAGTCATCATCAACAATGTCCCCACATGTCCAATTTAATTCAAACTACTCTTTAAATACACCCTATACTAATAAGAACAAAGTGAGAAAGTTTCAGCAAAATCGGTTCAGTACTTTTTGCGTCTATATGTGATAGACATAAACACATTACCTTTTTTTAAATAGAGATGTAATGTTCACTAGCAGTGCTTTTTCTATTACCTTCCTTTGTTACTAACATGAGAGATTGAGGTAGTAATTAATTGTCGATGTAGTGAAAAGCAACAGATTGTGTAATGTAGTAGAGAATGTACTCGTATGCACTTAGTGTATTATGTTGTGAGATTGTTTTGTGCTTTTGCTTGTTTCGATAATGCAGAACACTCATAGACTTTCAACAAATGTGATCATTTGTGGATGAAGTGAGGAATTAGAGATCAACTGTTCTAGAAGTTATAAATAAATATCTCTTTTTTTGTATTAAAGATGGCATGAATTTTACATCTTTTACATTTTCAAATAAAAATACAACACGTTTCTCCATGTTTTGGAAGAATTTGGTCATCCATATTTAGGTCTATGGAAAAATTAAAATATACGTAAATTGATTTTCTGTTAGATTGTTTTTCATTACCATTACCTTCATCATAAAGGCATGACATTAACTTTGAAAAAGGCGTACAGGACAAAGAGAATGTACAAATTGATTTCTCAGAAGAATACCATTGCTAGACCTAGTAGTTCGATGTCAGGTAATGGCCACAGCAGAAGGCACATGAACTCTCAGTTCAGCCTTGACAGCTCAGCCCAGGGTTTTGGTAAGCTCCACCTTTCTTACATGCAGGGCCAAGAATTTAACCCTCCTCTGATTCCCTCCTCCCCCTCTCCCCGTTGCAAGAGCCTTCCTCTCAGATTTAAATGCCTGTATCTACCTTCTTTCTGTAGTAATTCAATTTAAAAATTACAGGAGGAGTAGGAATGAGATCACCAAATTTCAATACAATGTCACAATGCACACTAGAATAAGTCTTAAATAGAAATGTGTTGCATACTTTATGCGTAGAACTCTATTGTTAGTCACTTGAATACTGTGTGTAGACCCAATACACTTGCGGCTCCAAAATGTAAAAGATGGTAAGGCCATTCTCTGCCACGACAACTGGGAGATGTCAAAAGATGCAAATGGGTTAATGATGTTGGAAAAGAAATTGTTCCATCCAGGGTAAAAAGAAATAATGATTTTTTTAAATTTTATTTTTATCTTTTTTAATTATATATTTAAGGGTGCCTTAAAACTACTAGGTCATTAGCGACCACAGTTACAAAAGTAAAGTACTTTAATGATCCTTGTTTTGTCTTAGAGATAAAATGATAAGGACAGGGCCTTGTCCCCATTAGAGGCTGACATGATGTTCAAGCTTGGAATGTTGAAGCTCTTAACATGAATTCTAAAACAAGCTGTAAGTTTCTATAACAAATTGCAAGTGAGACCTGTACCTAAGACAAAAGGGAAAATTAAAAATTTTAAACAAATTTCAACTCATTAATGCGTATATTATTGTTTAACACATTACACCTATAAATATTTTTATAAACTTGTTTATAAAATGAATTCTCGGCTGTCCGGGAGATGCCGCGTCGTTGGCTGGGGTGCCGACGTTTCGCCCGACATTTCGCAGGCTTCCTCAGGGTAGTGACACTGCGGCGCTACGCGCCCGTTGATTTAAACTATGTTGCCTGGGCTCCCGAGAGCTCTCAATACTCTCTGGTTTTATGTTTTTTTCAACCATTGTTAAACAAGTTTATAAACTCATAAACATGCACCACCTCACTGCCTAGTGGCTGCACCCGAACTGCTTGATGACTCAACGCACAATGCATCGCGATCCAGAGTACTAGAATGTCTTTGTGATACCTTGACCAATAAGGTTTTAGCCAAGGAGTTTCGATTATCAACACGGGCCCAGTAGATGCAAGAATAAGAGCCATTCCTATGCACCTTCCTATGCTCGGAGAGCCAGGAGAGATAGAATTCCTCCAGGACCTAGGCCTGGAGAGTCAAGTGACTCCAAGGTCGAATTCTACGCTGACAACTGAAGCTCCTCGCCTTCAGTGTGCAGCTGCCATGACTGAAACTCATATCACTGGGACAGAGCAATTAAAACAGACTTGCAGGTGCATTCATTCCATGAAGAGTATTTTGCTTCTCACTGCCAATTGCATTAAATTTGCAGAAATTCCCTTTTATGAAGATTTTTTCCAATGCAGAACATGTTGAACAGATTCCGTTTTATGCTGTGTAAAATTTCATTTAACCTCACAGGCCAGAGAAATTTTCCGGTTAAGGCAGGTTTTCTGCTTGTTCTGGTTCCGGTTTTGATGGTTGCTGTCAATTAAAGTTTTCAATTATGGTATTATTGATGAAATCTTTTGTAATTTCGTAAAAATATGATGTTAATATCATCTCAAATTGTCTCACTTCATGTTTAGAAAAATGGTATACGATACTATTTAGAATAAATATCAAAGTAAATATTTGGGGGAAAAGGAAAATGGTTTCTTGTTTGTGCTTGTGCTGTTTGTTGTTTCACATTTCAGAATGTGCGCTGTTTTAAAAAGAATTTCTTGTTCTGTAGAGTGTGGATGTCTTTTTCATGTGTGTTGTCATTGTAAAAAATCAAGTTCCTTTGTGACACAACATAGCAAACTTCAGAGTTAAAGTTCAATTTCTGAAAATCTTCTCTGTTTTTGAGTGGTTAGAGCTAAGCTGCCATGTGATTATTTTTGACTTTTTCCGTCTTTCTAGATTTAGAGTCATTATTAAAATACATTTCCAATTTATCTTCTTTAAACCTTCCCTGACCCAGTGTAATATATCATAACATTTACATCTCCATGTGACCCGTCAACCCTCCCCATCTTCCTGAGTTTAATAGAAGAAACTTCTTATATTTTTCTTTTCCTTAATTCAGTTTAATTTTTGTTAACAGATGTTGTTCAGTGAAGAAAGAGAGAAACACTCAATTCTCATACTTTAAGATATGTCATATGATACTCTGAAAAGTGTGATTGATTTTGTGTATCGTGGGGAGTTTTGGAATCTGGATTCCAAAAGAAGATCTAAAAGCATTTTTGGAACTTGCTGAATCTCTGCAGATCAAAGGTCTAAATGATTCTTCAATGAAAGATGTAAGTTTACAATAAGTTACCATACATTTTACTCTTGGTACTGAAATAGTCATAATAATCAGGCTTAATTATTGTGCTTATTTCAGGTATGTGAGTCCTTCATTTGTGATGCTAGCAGAGACATCTGTCAAGGTCCGTCCTCTGATAATCAGAAAAACATCTTTGAAGCTCAAAGTCATAGCGTGAGCCATGCCAGTACTGAACCTCCTCTTCATCATTCATATGGGTACTCAGATACATTGCAGATAAATTCTTGTCTTTCATTAGAAGAAAGCAATAGGGCTCCTGAGAAAGAAAAATCAATACTAGAAATGGCACTGTCTCAAGAAAAGAATGTTTCTGTTTTGCCTAGCGAGAAGTGTGAGGACACAGAAATAAAAGTGAAAGAAGAACCATTACAACCAGAGTGTGTTGTGGTGAAGTGTGAACAAATAGAGGAGTGTGATGAACTTATCCAGGAAGATAACACAGATGATGCAGAGGAATGTAGAACACCCCCATTTACCCACCAGAATCAGGACCAATATCCTAGTAAGTAAGAAATGTGTATATATAATTCGAGAATTACACTACAATTTCTTTCATTTAAAGTTATGACCACACAATAATTATTCTCTGGGTAATATTTTTGTTGTAACTTTTATGTTATTTACATTAACTTTTCTTTTAGATTATTTTTATTAGAATATTGGAAATTTGTTTAACTCTTCAAAATAGTTGATTGTCTGTATTACAATAAGTTTTTTTTCTGTTTGTTTTATATTTACAATTGTTTTTTATTTACTAACTATAGCTGGCATTTGATGACTACATAGCATCATTGCCACCAAATCTATCTATACTTATTTTTACTTACCTAGTAGTGGTTATGTTTTGTGTGAGAGACACCGGAAGGAATTCAAACTTTTGAAATTTTCCACAATTAAGAGTTATCCCTGGAAATCAAACCTATGCCATCTTTGTAAAGTATTAACTCTATTTTTACAAGAAATTTAAATAAAAATTTTGGAGCTATTTTGAGAAAGTTTTGAAAATAATCCAGAGGCTTCATGTAAAGTACCCCCGAATTTTAAAGAATATTTTTCAAAATGTATGCACTAGTGGTGCTCACAGACAGACAGATGGATGGACAGATGTTTTGAAAAATGCCACTTTTTTGGTTTTAGGGGACCCCAAAAGTTGTAGTTTTGTTGAAATTTCGTAATAGATTTTCCGCAGTACTACATAACTTTCTCTATAATACGTATATTACTCCGTGTATATGTACGTATATGAGAAAGTAAAGTAGTAGTGCTACAGAATTGCACAGAAGTTTTTGTAAAAGTTTTCTATTTTCTTTGGTCTGAGCTAATTATTCTTACTTCCCCCATCCTCTTGCCAGCTGCAATCTATTGCCATTCAAAGTACTTTTTTTTTTTTTTTTTAATGTTCTCAGTTTTTCTGTTTTCTAATGGGAGAACCATATTAATACTTTAAGATTATTAAAGAAGAGTAAACCCTTGTCCTAAATGACAATTTACATTGAAAAATGTGGGGCCATTTTTAAGAAAATGGTGTTTAAGTGTTACTGTAAATGCAAAATTTGAATCTCTTTTCACAGAAAACTATTTAGTTTTCAAGAAACTTCATATAAAGTCTTTTCTAGCACTTCCAGTAACAAATGCAATAGTACATACGCTTGAAATGTGCATATTAACAGTGTGCGTGATATTTCAAAAAAATTGCATTTGTGTAATTTTAAAAAAAGAACTCAGCAAAATAAACATTATACCATATTAAGCAGTGCAATTAGCACTATCCGTTGGAAAAGTTTGAAGAAAAATATGTTGACCCGTTTTTGGAAAATGGCATTAGAGCATAATGCAGATTTTTGAGTTCATTTTCACAGAAAACTCTTGAGTTTCCGAGAAACTTTGACATTATTTAAAGCACATGTACTCATTAGTACATTATAATTTACAAATTGCAGATAATGTAAATATTAATGACATGAGAGTCAATTAAAAAAATTTGCATATTTGTAATTTTTGATAAAACAAAAGAATGGGGAAATATGGTGTTTATGTCATCTTACAGAGTGCATTTAGTACTATCCCTCCCGAAAATTTAAAGAAAAAATTTGGAGCAATTTTTGAGAAAATCTTGTTTTTGTAATTTTTTCTAAATTGTACATATTGCATTCAATGTTGCTAAAAAACTACCAAAATGTTCAAAAAAATGTACTAGATTTAATTGAAAGAACTGATTATGAACAACAAATTTCATTTAAAAGAAAAATGTCTATCTTCAATTTTGTAATTGTAGGAAGACACCAGAAATAATTCAAAATTTAGATAATAGTGTAGAGTAAAATACACTGATGGTGGCATAGGTCTGATTTTCATGGTTAACTGAATTTTCAAAAATTTCAAAATTTTGAATTATTTCTGGTGTCTTCCTACAATTACAAAATTGAAGATAGTTTTTTCTTTCAAATGAAATTTGTTGTTCATAATCAGTTCTTTCAATTAGATCTTGTACATTTTTGTGATTTATATAAATATATGAAGCGCACGAGTGCACTCGTGCGTGCGTGTGTATAGACAAAACAAATATACTCTTCGTTGACTTCAAAAATGCCTACGACAATGTGAATAGACAGAAATTATGGGAAACATGACAAAAACACAGAGACAGGAAACTGAAGCTGGAATAAAGATAATAAACAACCAGAAATTAGTGGCAATATTATTCGCAGACAGCCAAATTATAATAACAGGCTCAGAAGACACACTGCAGTAAACAGCATTCAAATTAAGCAAAATAAGCAAAGAATACCAAATGAAAATATCAAGCCAGGAAACTAAAACACTAGCCTCCCAGGGAACATCTCGGTGCCACAATAGTAATAGAAAATGCAATAATTGAACAAGTTACTAGTTTTAAATATCTCAGAAATTCAATTGAATATTACCAGAAGGAATAGAAGAAACTAGTGTTGCTTCAGAATGGCACAGACTTTCCCCTATCAGTTTTTTATTTCCTTTGGATTCAGTTAGTTTTTCAAATTGCTATAATTGTGCCTGCTGCCATCTATCACTGCCTAGAGAACATTTTTTTGTTTTTTCGGTTTCCTAATTGTAGAGCGGAATTATTATTATTATTATTTATCTTTCAAATATACACGCTCGTCCGGAGTTTTCAGGTATAACTCAAGGACAGAACGTCAACACTCATGGTGAGACAGACCATGACAGACTCTTGCTCCAGTGTTCTCAGGTTCCTCTTCAATTACTCAAAGAGAGAACCTTACACACAATATTGGTGGTTCCCAAGAGCACAGCCTTCTGCATCGTTCTGAAGTGCCACTCATTTAGCTGGAGTTTCTCTTTTACAATCCCCCAATCCTCAGCAACAAGCCCGTTGGATGAAATAACTACAGGCACAATATCTACCTCTTGGAGTTGGTATAGTTCTTTTAGTTCCACTGAAAGTGGTTGGTACTTTCTGTATGTCATAATAACAGTGTGAAAAATATATCAAAAAATTTACATTTGTGTAATTTTTGAAAAAACAAAAAGGTACATCGAAGTTATCATAATGTCATATTAGAGTGCAATTACCGTTATCCGTTTGAAATGTTTGAAGTAAAAATTTGGAGCCGTTTTTGTGAAAATGGTGTTTGAGCGTTTCTGAAAATGTGGAGTTTTGAGATAGTTTTCAAGAAAAGGTAGAGTTTTCAAGAAACTTTGTATGACATCATTTAAAGCACATGTACTCGTAAATACAATAATGCGAACAAATTGATGCTAATATAAATATTAACAACATGAGAGTCAAAGTAAAAAAAAATTTTTTTTAAATTTTGAATAAACAAAAGTATGGAGCAATATAGCATTTGTGTCATCTTATAGAGTACATTTAGCACTATTCATACCAAAAGTTAAAAGACATTTGTAGCCATTTTTGAGAAAATCTTGTTTTCGTAATGTTTTTAAAATTGCCCATATTGCACAAAAACTACGTAAATTTTCAATAAAATGTTCATGACCTTAATAAAAGGTCTCACTGTGGAGAACAGATTTTATTTGAAGGAAAAATCTTTATCTTTAATTTTCTAGGTCTAGAAAGACACCCCAAAAAATTTTGAAACTTTGAAAATGTTAAAAATGTTTGAGAGGCTTCATGAAAAACGAATTTTTTCCCAATGTTTTAAAGAATTATTTCATTATTGCAAAGTTACGACTGGAGCCAGGTGGACAGAGGTTTCTTCAATTTGGAAAAAATCCTCTGCACGGTGACGTTTGAATAAAGACGGACGGACGTTTTGAAAAGAAACAAAAAACCTTTTTGGTATCGGGACTTCCAAAACATGTATTTCCGTTGAAACCTAGAACTCTATTTTCCGCCATATTACATAACTTTCCCTATACTACATATATTACTCCATATATACATAGGAACATGGTAAAGTAAAAATACAAAAATATAATAGAAACAATTGAATAGTAAAGAGACATTTTGGATTTTGAGAAAAGAAAGAGTGATGAGAATTCATAATATAACATCAAAACCAATGCTAAAGTATGGTTCAGAAATGTGGATAATGGGCATAAAGAAAACCATAAAGTTGCTCAGATGAAGTTTCTAAGAGCAGTGTTAAGAGTAACAAAAGGGACAAAATTCAAAATGAAACAATTAAGATAAACTGACAACTTAGCAAAAGAAATAAAAAAATTACCAAAGTATTTGGAAAAAACCTGTAAAAAGAATGGACAAATGATGTCTACCACGAATGGCATTAAATTATAGATCGAATGGCATGAGGCAGACCGACAAGAAGATGGCACCAGCAGGAGCACTTCACCTCATGAAGGAATACTGTTTTTCTACACACTAACCGGACAGGAACACCGCTCCTAAACCAAGGGTGGTGGTGGAAATGATGATGATATATCAAAGTCAATATAGGACTTCTAAGATGTGGAGGAAAGGAGCAGAAAAAACTGTTATCAGAATTTTTTAACAAAGTATGGCTAGAGAAAACTATTCAAATGAATGGCAAGAGGGTTTTGTTATTAATATTCCTAAGAAAGGTTCAAAGAAGATCAGTGACAATTATAGCGGCTGTATGTTGCTATCAACATCATCTAAGCTATGTGCTGACATGCTCAATGAAATGCGTGAGAAATTCATGGGAGAAGAGGAATGTGGAGTCCGAAAGGGTTGAAGCACTTAAGACACAATCTTTACATTGCAGATGTTAATAGATAAAAGGAGGGAAAGGAATCTACCAACTTTTATAATATTTATTGATTATGAAAAAGCATATGACAAAGTTTATAATTTATTAAAGTATAAGGAGACCATTAAGTTAAGAAAACATGAAATCATATAGATGTGTTTTAATCAAACAGAACTTCCATTACCATTTTACCAGTAGTGAAAAGCTTGGGAATTGTAATGTTCTAAACAAACAAAATGCTGAAGCCTAATGTCACATGCACTTCCATCCATATACAAAAATTAAATATTGCCTGTCTATTGTTAAA